AATTAATTACGACAAAATGTCAAGTGACAAATTGAATTAAACATGCAATTTTAACTAGGAAGACTGAATTTATTTGACTTCAGCTAGTTTGTCAACCATTTGTGACCACGGACCACAAAACCAGTCATAAGGGTCAATTTTTTCTGAAAATCAGAAAATTTAAATATCTTCATGGAACATGATTTTTACTTAATATCCTAATGATTTTTGGAATGAAAGAAAAATCGATAATTTTGACCCATACAATGTATTGTTGGCTATTGCTGCAAATATACCCGTGCTATTTATTACTGGTTTTGTGCTCCAGGGTCACATTTGTCATTTTCATTTAGTTTATGTTTATGTGCTATAATTACTACAACTAAAAGTGAATTAAAACAGAAACTATTACAAATCATTTCAACTATTTTCTATTTTTTCTCTTTTCTATTTTTATTCAAACTACTTTTATTTGTTTTTACAGTGTATCTGGTTGGGAGGGAAATTTTAAAGACACAATCATCATCTTATTCACTTTGTTTCACATGCTTTCATTTATTTCAGCATTTCTCAATACTAGCATGAGAAGGGTTATTTATAAAGCTCCTTTCATGCAAACAGCACTGCAGGAACAACAAAAGATCAGACGTAAGGAACAATATACAAAGCATTTGATGTTAAAACACTTCCATTAGAGTAAAGTGAGCGCTTTGGCGTCTTTGAAGCATTAGTATTGCCGAGACTCAGCAGCTACTGAAACGTGAGATAAAAATATTTCATTTTATGAAGGTGTAGTAGAAAATGTTGCATAACGTCTTAAGAAAAATAAAACATGCAACTGCAGTAATTTGAGTTTTAATCCGTGTTGAACTCAAATGAGTTTTTGATTGTAATCCCTCCTTGACCTCATGGAAAGGTCCCGCTGTTACATAATCACATCAACAGCAAACTCAATGTAAGCCACGCTGATTAAATGCATAGATTTGCTGAGCTGTATCGATCCTCAAGGGGAAATTCAGGAAGGAACACTTTGACCTGAATGTGATATGAACTTGGCCTTAAATGAGGTGAATATGAGCTTCTGCAGTGATTGTAGGTGCTGCTGGGCAAAATATGATCATTTTACATACTTATACGAGTTAGTAGACGTTATGCCTCAAAGTGATGCATATACTTCAATAACCCGTAAAGTCTGTCTATGACTGCCAAGAAAAAGTTTATATGCATTTTTTTACATGAATTTATTTATGTTTAGCAGATTTTTTTAAGTGAATTGAGGAAGGTAATAATATACATTTAAAGAAATTAATATTTTTATTCATCAAGGATGCATTAAATTGATTAAAAGTGACAGTTAAGGCATTTATAATGTTACATAAGATTTATATTTCAAATAAATGCTGTTCTTTCGAACTTTCTATTCATCTGTGAATCCTGAGGGGGAAAAAAATGTCACGGTTTTAACAAAAATATAAAGCAGCAATATATATATATATATATATATATATATAGTATATTACCGCAATGCACTGAATTAACTAGAACTGGAATAAAATTGAAAACAACTAATAATAGTAAAATTTATTTTATTATGAAGTATTGTATATTAAGAAATTGATTTGATCAAAGTCTAAAATATTTAACTTGTTTGACTTTAAATGAACAAAAACTAATTAGAAAATTACGCTTTTTTACTGTATATTTTATCACACAAATGCAAACTTGGTGAAAATAAGATATTTTTTTATAACATTTAAAAATCAGTACCTACAGTAGTTTATACCTGCCATTCGCTCACAAGTGTAATTTTAAGCTGTTTTACAGTGGATTTGAACGTGTCTCATCCAATCAAACAGAAAACACTCTTTGACCGTCTGAGAGTAACGAATCACACACACACACACACACACACACACACACACACACAAACGAGGCTGCATATTAAGAGCTGCTAGGTGTGTAATGTAAAGTGCTCTACAGTGATGTGCTCAAACACTGAAGTGCACTACACTGACACACTCAGCCAACAAGACAAGAGTGACTTTGACCCAACACTGTCCTTTCCCAAAATATCATCATTCAGCTCAGATCATGAGATGAGTTCATACTGAAATCTACCATTCATGTTTCATTGGAGAAATACATCTG